TCCTTGAAATTTAAGGTTAAAAATAGCTGTGGCAATTCAGTGTAACAAAAATCCATAGACCACATTTGGCGTTTATCGCTTATAACAAACATACCAAATTTCAAAATGCGCCAATATGTAAACTCACGTATATCTTAGGAAATTTTGAATAAAAACCTGTCATTTTTTGCAGGTATGCTTAGAAATACATCTACTTTTAGATGATGGTAAAAATGTTATAGGTTATTATTAAAAACTATATGTTATAGGTTATTCGAAAAATTTATACAAATTATTTGAAAATACAAATTTAAAAATTTAATTATAAAATATGAGTGAATTTCATTTGGAATGAAACCTATATTTTGAAATCTGAGAAGGAAAAATGAAATAAGCTTAATAAAAAAAAAGAGATATAATAAATATTTGCCAAATTCAATTAACATTGAGGAGTTAAATTTTGAGAGCTAATATTTTAAAAACTAGTTGTAAGATTTTAAAAATTTGGTATTCTGGCATAATTTGAGTCGTAGAATCGAAATATGGAAAAAAATTGGTATGTTATTTCAGAAAAAGTCCGATTTTGTGTCAAAATACCTATGTTAGAATAGTGCTATATATAAATCTAATATATATCCTAAGTCGCGCTTTTGAGACATGAAAAACGCAGTTTGAATTTTGTCAATCGACCCAGTAGAACGGGAGATATAGCACTGTTCCTTTTTTTTTTTTTTTTTTTTTTTGAGCAGTGTACATACGCATTGAGTTTCTCTGTTCAGTTTACAGCGATAAGTTCCCAGTTTTTCCCTGAAGGTGGGTCCTATCACTGACAAAGTGGTTAACAACAACAACAAACTCTTAAAACCGCCTCTTCTACTGAAAGCAACTGCAGCATTTTGTAACTATTGCTGCCAGTGAGCGAGTTTGAATCCACGCTTCTACGCACTCCGTTATCTCACACTGGATTAGGCAAGACGAGACAGGTGCTAACTACCAAAGTGGACAAAAGCCAATAGGCTAAAACGAGGCAGAGCACGTCAGCTGTGAAAAGGGGCCTCAAAGAAAAGCCTAACGGCTAAAAGAGGAAGTGAGGTTACAATGCTAGTGGAATAACATTAAAGTAGTTTAGTGTACTGAATACTACTACTTCAACCCAGGTTCAAATCCCAGTGAAATGACTAGTGCATTGGTTTCCATTGTTTTCTTCACGTGCAAAGTGAATACAACTGCCCCTTTGTGTAGACAGTCCTTAAGTATTTTCCCTATTCTACAACTAACCATTAGAGATGGAAGGTTGAACAGTCTCTAATTTTCTTGCATATACACTGGTTATCATAAATCAAGGAAAAATCACAAAAATCACGATTACTGAAAAAGTTACATGTAGAATTTAATGAAACTTACCCACAATATACAACACATAGTAAGGTATCAAATAACATAAAAAGAAATTATCAGACAAATATGGTAGTATAGAAATTAGCATATGTATAAAATGAACAAATCGAAGGTGTCAGTTTGCTATAGGAAAAGTACCTTCAATATGGAATATGATCGCCTCTAGAAGCAATACAGCACATACAGTGATGTGTAAAGCTTTCAATTACGCAGCCTATCAGTTTCACAGGAAGCGAGAGCCATTGCTCTTGCAAAGCAGTTGCAAACGCGACAAGGGTCTGAGGAGGCAGATTGAGAGCAGCTAGACATCTCCCTAAAGCATCCAAAATGTGCTCAATAGGATTCAAGTCCGGGGATCGAGCTGGCCACTCCATGCGCATAATTGTTTTCTGTTGAAGATAATCATCTACGAGCCCTGTGTGGTCTTTCGTTGTTGTCCTGTAACAGGAAAGCATCACCTGTTGCCCCGGCATATGAGCACACATAAACATCAAGGATGTCATCTCTATAAATCTGAGCATTCACGGTTCCCCTTGGAAAGACATGGAATGTCTGTGCGTTCCACCCAAAGAGATTCTGCACCCCCAAACACAGATCCACTACCCCTTTCCGGGATGCATCTTGATGTACGGATGATAACGGTTCTAGGTTCTCTCCATATCAAATAACGCCTACTATAGCTTTCTAGATTAAAGCTGGACTCATCCGTAAAAAGAACCGCCCTCCATTGATCAGGCGTCCAGTGGACATGTTGTCATGCCTACTGAAAACGGTCCCTCCTATGGCGTGACGTGAGTGGCACACAAATGGGTGGTCGCCTCGCATACAGACCACCTTCGTGAAGCCTTCTATGCACAGTTGACGTTGACATAAACCTTCCGGTGGCTGCAGCAAGGGAGGATCTAAGAAGAGTCAGAGTAGCGGTTCTATTCCTGTGTGCACACAATGTCAAATATCGGTCATTGGTGCTCGTCGTAGCAGTTGGCCATCCTTGGCTGAACCTCCTAGATGCCGAATCTATGGTTTGAAATTGCCTCCAAAGTCTATGAACCACAGAATGACTCACATTTAGCCATCTGGCCACTTCTGTTTGACTTTGTCCTGCCTCTAGTCTCCCAATGGCTCTCCATCGCAGTTCTGCAGCCTGGAGGTCATTGTTACGAATTGGCTATCTCAGATTTCTGATGTCACTGTCACAGTGAAATATGTGGGCTTGCTCTCAAACATGGACCTTTATGCTCCTCGCAGATGATGTATTCCGAAAGCAGCGCCATTAATTTGCATATCGCAGTTTTACTCAGCTACTCTTACTTGGCAACATATTCAAATTTTATACAGTTTGGCTTATTTTTGAGGGAGTTACTATTATTTTTGTTATTTTTCCTTAATTTATGATAACCGTGTAATATATATTAATTTTTTTTTAATTTTTTTTTTTTTTTTTTTTTTTTTTTTTCAAGGGTCTCATGGCGAGAAATGGTTATTTTCTCTTTTTTATTGAAAATAGCCTTAAAGCAGTGCATGGCATAGTGATTGACACTGAAAAGATCTGCCAGACTGTTGACCTCAAAGTTTGAATGGAAACCACTGTATTACTGTAGCACACTTCCCTTCCCACTTCATCAGAAGGTTGCAGCTAGTATGGACTTTTGTATTCATATCCTCTACATCAAAAGAAACTTCCCTTTAAGCCTCCCTTACATTCTTAACAATCAGAGCTTGTAATTCTTGAGTGGTAATATAATACAGTAGTAACTCAATAATCCATGAACACTTAAATTAAGAACCCAGATATGTACACCTATTTTTGGATGCAGACAAAAACACTTATTTACTTGGTAAACTGTTTACTTTAAATAAATCTCTGCAATATGATTTAATGGAAGTTCAAACATCACATGGCCTTCTGTTTTCAACTAATATGTAAAAAAGGTTGGGAAAATTTGTCCATCTGCAATTTCCAAAATTACTAATTATGTAACATGATGATGTAAGTAACACAAGGATCCATTTTAGGGAAAATATTACTAAATATATTTAAATATTATTCAAATATTATTTGCTTTTGCTTTAAGAACATAAAATTTATTTTGGAAAAAAAATGCTGATTGGTATGCAGTTTTATTTATGCCAGGGTTCAATGCATCTTTATAAAAGAATTTTCATTCTTTAAAAAATTTCCTTATCATTTATCCCTTTCTCTCCAACACATTTTCCTCTGGTACTTGCAATACTTTCATTTTGGGTTTGAAATTTATCTTTAGTTTTTTACATTACCAAATTATTTCAGGTGTTAGTTGATAAAAATTCAGATACTAAGTGAGGAGAAAAATGCAAAATTTAGTTATGATGAGGTTTAAGCATTAGACCAAGAAGTTTAAACTTTCCAGAAAAACACAATTTTTTGGCCAGAAAATAATAACAATTTATAAACTTCTGAAAAAAAAAAATAATGAAAGACAATGCAACATGTTAATACGAGAAACAACTGAAATGATGTTCCAAAAATATAAAATTAGTCCTTCATATCACTAAGGTATAAATTTAATTACACTTAGTTCCTGAATAACTGGGGACAAGATAACTGAAATCTTGGCTATAAAAAAGGTTAAGCTTATTTATAGCACTATGATGGAAAAATTACTATCACAAATCATCAGAATAAAATGAAATTTCAATGGAAAAAGCAAAAACAAGAAGAAAATGCATAAATTAGAGTAGTGATAACAGATAAGACAGAGTATTAAGAAATTACTTTTATCTACAACACTATGCAATTTAATTGCATATAATATGAAATATATACATTTTGTTAAATCATACATTAAAAATAAGTTGTTAATTGCAAAAATAAAATAAATTCATACAGCTATTAATCATCTGCTTACCAATAACTCTTATCCAAGTACAAGAGTAATACTAAACCAAACACTGTTTTCCTGTTTTTAAAGGTATTTTTATTTTGAATATCAACTGAATTTGCATAAATAAATAAATTTATCCTTTTAAAACACTTTTAAAAACACAGGTACATTATTAATAATTTTTTCTGTTAATTATAAGACATGTTATATCTCTTTCCTACAGTCTTCCCCCTTTTAAAACTGCTGGTTTAACAATGGACATCCCTCCCAGTATAATCCTAGTTAATCGAAAAGCATAATGAAAAACATGATGAATGAAAAACATAATGGTCTTGCATTAAATAATTCTTGATATAAGAGTTTATATTATTTATATATATTAGTTGTGTACCTGCAAATAATCAATATGTAGAATAAAAATCAAATAGGAATATATGTAAGTAAGCTGTAAGTATATGACCTAAAACCTAGAAAATTCCTTAATCCCCATTACTCTTGACCTCTAGTCATGCAAATTAAAGCAATTCTGCTATATGGAGAAAAATGTTTAGTTGTTTGTTTCTTATTAATTCCCTTTGTTTATGCACAAATACATTTTCTGTGTTTAAATGCTTCCTAAACAGAAACTGAAACAAATTTAATTTTGCAATAAAAGTGTCGATAATGCATTACAAATTTTGCTTATGTAAAAATGTGGGATATTTTTCTATAAATAAATTTATCATGGTTGCTGAAATGAGATACAACTCTTCAACTTACTGTATTTTATGTCACCAGGAATAAAAGTGGATGTTGCTATACATTTTTCCATAGCTACCTGAAATATAGAAGATTTAAAATGCAAGTCCAGTTTTTTAAAGCAAATCCTGTTTTATAAATGAATAATATTCTAGAAATTAATATTAATATTTGATTAATTAATTATTCTTGAAACTAACTCTTTTTTTTAATTATAAGCACCATTCTGCATGCTTATATCAATTTACCTGTCTGTCTTCAACACTAAGCTTGTGCATCAATTCTGATTTGCTATTCCAATAAACAGCTAAACTATCCAATGTGACTAACTAAAAAATACAGTAAACTTATATGTAATAATTTCAAAACATTCATGAAGTAATTCAAGAACTGGAATACTAAAATAAAATGCAAACATTATCATTTCAATAAAGAATATCTCCAATTAAAATTAAACTAATACCTTATGTATAATCTGGACACTTTCTTGAATAACAGCGGGAATCCATTTTTCATCAGTAGTTTCAAAGGACAAATTATGCAGTGTGAAACCAGCACTAAATGGATTCTTAGGATCTGAAAAATTATCTTCATAACGTAGATGAATGTCTTTGATCTTCACTTGAAGATTTTTAATGATTTGAGTAACAAGCTTTTCTGTAAATGTGTCTTTCTTTTCCTCTTTGCCATTAGCTAAATTAATTTTATATATATATTAGTAATGCAGATAACATAAAATCATTAAACATACAAGTTAATGAATTGGTTAAGAATTAAATTTATAAGGTGTTCTTTATTAACTTGATATTATTTAATGACTAAACCTATTATTAGGACACTCGCTTTCAAAGAAAGAAAAAAAAAAGTTTTCTTACATAAAAATTACCATGTTGCTAATAAGAAGAAAAAAAATAAAGAGATACATAAAATGAAAATGGTTTTGAGATTTCCACATAGCAAGCTAAAAAAATTACAGACAAAAATGAATCAAAGTTTATTATTACTAAATAATTAAGAATATAATATTAAATGTACCATATAAATTAAATTTTTGAATTTTACTATTTTTAAAATAAAATGCTATTTAATTATTCTGTATTCAACATTAAATGAAAATACTGAGAGATAGTTAATATCTTACTTTTCTCTTTCAGTTTCGATTTTGCCTCTTCAATTCGCATAAGTTCAGCCTGCTTAGCAGCCTCAGCTGCTTTAGCTTCCTTTTCTGCATCATACTTAATACCTAAAAGAGTTTAATACTTTAGTCATATAATCATCATAAATAAAAATAAGTATTAGCTGATTGAACATATGTTGAATCTTCATATAAAGCTCTACAACTGTTTACAGTGGATTAAGACAATTCAGGTCAATAAATTTTTGCTGGATAACACTTTCTTAAATAAAGACTAAAAATTAAAAACTGGAAGATTTAACGATTTACTGGGAGGCTGGGAGTTCAAATAAAAACAGACAGAGTTGGCAGCTATAATATTGTTATGAATTTTGTATTTACATAGCTAATGCTAGTAGAATTATAATTAAAATTGTTTTACTTCCCCGTGCAATGCAGCACAAGACATATTTTAAGAGAAAGCTACACCAGAAAAGTAAAAATAGAGGAGCATGTGCATCACTCAATAAATAGATATCTTGTAATTTATATTTAAACTGAATAAATGCAATTGACTGTTGTATCAGCTATAACCATAATTATACTTTTTTGCTTTCAGGAATCTCGAGAAGTAAAGAAATTACTAGAACTATCTCACGACCGTTTGATAGCTTTAAAAAGCCAGAGAGAGATATCTCGGCTCAGTTGTTTAGTTAGCTGCTGTTGTTATTTTTGTGGGTTCAGATTGGATTAGCTTTTTATTTGCAATGCGTTGTATTCTAATGTTTTTAGTAGTTTAAAGGATAACTAATGATTACATTGTGTGATATTTTGAACACTTGCATGAATATCTGAGAAAAAGTCTAGCATTTTGTTATATTTCTTGTGATGAGAATAAATTTTATTAACCTTTTATTGGACTTGTGCATTCAGTCTATTACAAAACCGTATGCACTCAACGCATTTTGGTGTCAGGAGTGGGGTTGAACCCCAGTAACAATAGCAACGGAAGTACAATTAAGGCAGTTGGTGGCAGATTTTGCTGTGTTTCACGGAAAGATGGAAGCTGGTCAAGAATCCGTTCAGGAGGAGATTAATGTCATTCAAGAAGGTCAAGAAGAAATGAAAAGGGAAATTACCTGCATAATAAAAAATAAATCTGAGGCTATGGAAGGCAGAATAGATGCGGTTGTAAATAAAGTTGGACAAATTGAAGAAAATGTTTCTTCTGTCAAAAATCAAATAGAAAAGAGATTATTTTAGGCCATGGAACAACAAATCTATTACAGAGTTTCTTCTCTCAAAGAACAAACCGAACAACAAATTGATGGCAGGGTTTCTGCAGTCGCTAAAGAAGTTGATACTTTAAAGAAATTCATACCGATGGCAGGGAGCAATTCTGAGTGTTTGAAATTTTTTCCCATACCTGCTCGTCCCTCCCTCAAGTTATCCATATATGAGGGAAAGACCTCCTCGCTAATGCATAATTTTCTATCAGGGTTAGTAGCCACATTTTAGTTAAAAAAATAAGCACCTATAAGCACTTTTCAAGCACATTTTAAGAAAAAAAAATAATAATAAGCACCTGTCTAATTACATAATATACAACTGCATAACCTTAAAAGAAAATTAAGACTTGTAATTTAAAATATGAGAAATACAGTATTTATTAAGAGAGAATGAGCATTACTCAACCATGGAAAACAATCACATTTTCTCTTAAATTTTAAATAACAGTTCAATTTACATAACTAATTTACAATGAGAGAAAAAAAAATTATGCAGTACTAAACTATATTACAAGCTTTAATGATGAAATTTCAGTTCAAAATAGAAAAAACAAATAATAATAAGCCATATTTATTATATTCACTTGGCATCTAAAAATAAATACAATTTATTTTTCCACTCATATTAAAATTTAAATATTTTAACTTTAATCAAAATTCTGAACATTTTCTTAACTTTCATTGTATAACAGTTTTCCCTTAACAATTGCAAGCAAAGTAATTTAAGTAAAAATTAGGAAAAAGAGGAACATTTCTGAAATTAGAAGCTGGGAAATTGCCACATGCAGTCATCCTTTAACAGTAAAAGCTTAACTAACTGGCATACTCAGAAATTGCTGAATATCTGAAAATTTCGGATAGTCGAGTGTAACTGGAAAAAGAGGAGGGGGCTAGATTGTAGCTGTTCTTTAGATTTTTCGGCTAAATAATGCTTTTGACATTTCTATATGTGCATCATATAAAAATAGCCCAACAGAACTGAAAAATATTCTGCTTAGCAAGCACAGTAAAACTCTTTTAAGAGCTCATAAACAAATCTCAGACTGAATATCAAAATTAATTTATCTCCACAAAATATTGCAAATGTTATTGCGCCATACGCACCTTAATTCTTCTGCACGTGATATTACGCTATCGGAATCAACAGCTGCCGGTATTCAGAGAATAAATAACTAAATAAAGGGGAAAAAAAAAAAGAGACCTACTAATCTGGGGTGTTTTTCATTCTAATTTTAAACAGACTGCATTAAATTTCCGAAACAGAATCATTCTTCACTTGGGTTGGTAGATCGCAGAAATTTTAGTCCTATTCAATCCACATTGGAAAGTGACCAAAAAAAAAAAGTCCGTTGCTTGTTTTGCTGTGAACTGTAACAAATAAATATTAAGCTTTTTTTTTTTTGTAAATTTTGATACCCTTTAGATCATAATTGCTCTTTATTTCATAAACTACGGTTTCATATTTTTCATTTTATAATTTCTGCATGCCATTTTACCAGCTTTAAACTGCTGATCTATAATCTGGAATCGCCAAAGTCCCGACGAGTCCGGATTAAAGACTTTTGACTGTATAACGATCATAATAAACACGAATATGAACTGACTATGCAGAACAAAAATGCAAATTATTAAAATCTTGATAGAAATTCAAACATGTACAGGAAGAGAATGGGAGAAAAAGAATATGGAATATACCAGAATTTTCTACAGCTTTTGCAATTCTTTGACCTATAAAACGCTGTACACATGTCTACTTGCCTGCACCAAAGGTTACATTAATACAGAGAAAGGGGCGAAAAGGTATTTCTGGGAGTATGATTAACCATCTGACGGTCCAGATAAGGAAAAGTTTAGCTTTATGTTTTAGGTTTAAGTTAGCTTTAGGTTTTGGAACGGGGGAAAAATGTGTGTTCGTTTAAAAAAAAAAAAAAGCAGTAAAAGCCAAAAAAAAAGAGCACTAAAAACAAAACAAAAAAATAAATAAATAAATAAATAAGTGCTTTAGAGAAAAAGTAAGCATGTATAAGTGCCTTTATATTTTAATTTCAAATATAAGGACTTATAAGCACTTGTAAGAACTTCTTCGAATCTTGTCTGTAGTTGGCGGATGCGAATGGATGGGATTTCCAAGCTAAGGCCTGCCATCTCGCTGTTTCTCCGAGAGCAGACGCTACAGATATTCTTCAAAACTCTTCCAGAAAACCAAAGACACAGCAAGAGCAGACGCTACGGATATTCTTCAAAACTCTTCCAGAAAACCATAGACTAGACTTTTAAGGCTTATTCATTGCATTGGAGCTATACTTTGGTTAGAAGTGTTTAAAAGATTACAGCAGGCTTGAACTAAAATCCCAACAGAAGAAGCCTACAGAAACACTCCAGAAGCTTTCCATGGATGTTGAAAGTCTGTCTCATCTCACCTTTTTGGAATGCCTGACCGAAACAATGGAAACCTTGTCCCTACAGTACTTTATCGATGGCACCCGGGATCCTGAAATATAGAAAGCCCTATGAATGACGGATGTCAAGGACTTAAAAAATGTTCTAGTGAACACCATGAAATTCGAGGCAGCCCAGCAAGCGACTCATAGAGATTGCCACCCAGTCAGAGCTGTACAAGTCCACGAGCCGTGGATCAAGTGACGGCTAGTTTAGATGATTTATCCAGAGAAGTCAATGCTTTGATATGAAGTAGGAGTGAGAACAAACTGGCTCTAAAGTTTTGAAAATGTGTACTGAGGCCACATAAGACGACATTGCAGAACACCCCAGAGCAAGGAAAGTAAAATAGATGATTTGACCAGAAAAGTCAGTGCCTTGAGATGGAATAGGAGTAAAAAGAAACCATCCTAAAGTGCTGGAAGTGCGATGTCCAAGGCCAGGCACGGAGGAACTGCAGATCACCTCAGGGCACAGAAAATAAGGCAATTCTAAAGAAGGACGTGAGAAACAAATTAATGGTCATATCACAGAGAGGAATTTGAAGGATAATGAGAAGCCCAATTTCAAAGCGTTTCAGATATCTGTAGTGAATGGCAGCAATAATGGAATCTTCACCATAGGACACATCAATGGAGTTCTTTCCAATATGGTAATTGATGCAGGGCTGAATGTTACCTAATTATTCGGAAAGATTTAGCTCAACAGTTTAAAGATGAACTCATTTAGGATGCCATCCTGTGTTACCCTCCAGACTGCGTCAGGTGATAAATTGACACTGATGGGAAATTAAACATAAACAATCACGTTTGAAAGTGCCACCTACTATCACACAGCATATGTGGCAGATATTACAGATCCTTTTACATTCTGATTGGATTTATTAAGGAAATACAATTATTCCTAGGACTTTAAAAATAATGAACTGCATTCAGCCTCTGAGGTCATAACTATCCATCATCAGAAGGGATCCTCACCTGGAAACGCCGGTACCTTGTCTGAAAGACTGTTCAGAAAGCTACTGATATCATGCTAGAGTTGAAGAGAAAAACGAGCTGCTAAGTCTGATCGCACGACAAATTACAACATCAACATCTGCTGATCGAAACCCATGCAGTGACAAGGATGTCAGGACAGACCAGCTGGAAGACGGCAACATTAAACCCATAACTGATTTAATAGAGTCTTCAAACAGAAAGGCAGGCAGGCCATTTCGATCTATAGTCCAATGACAAAACAATACTGGGCTCTCTGGGATTCACTCCACATTTGAAATGGCATCTTATACTGGAAATTCTAATCAGATGATGAAAAGGCATTCCGATGGCAGCTGATACTTCCAAGATCTTGAACATTCGTAAAGAACTACATAGCAGCCCTACAGGAGGCCAATTCAGAATAATGAAGACTTTACAGAGAGTTCATGAATGCTTCTACTGGAGGATGCTTCTACTGCACTACTGGATAAATGCTTCTACTGCAAAAGATGACATGCAAAAGTGGTGCCGATCTTGCGATGCCTGTGTCGGTCAGAATGGACCAAAGAAACACAGACAAGGCAAGTTTCAACGTTACAATGTAAGAGCACCCTTTGAATGTATGACCTTGACATCATGGGACCTCTACCATAAACTGCTGATGGCAATAAATACAGCCTCGTTGTCAAAGATTATTTCACAAAGTGACCTAAAGTGCATCCTATTCCCAATCAAGAGGCTGTAACAGTAGCAGAGGTAACGATATAGCATTGGATTTTCAGGTTCAGAGTGCCTCTTCAGTTACATTCTGATCAAGGAAGAAATTTTGAATCGGCTGTCATTAAAGAACTCTGCAAGCTACTCGGTACTGAGAAAACTCAAATGACACATTTACAGCCCCAGTCAAACATCATGGTAGAGAGATTTAATCAAACTATCCTTAATAACCTCTTACTGGTGGTTTCCAGAAACCAACAGAACTGGGACAAGAAGTTACTTCTATTTTTATTGGCTTATCACAATGCTGTCCACGAGACTACTTGCTATTCCCCATCCCAAATGCTCTTCAGTCGTGACTTTCGTCTGCCTTGTGATCTTCTGTTTGATCACCTTACGGATGTGCCTTCATCACCTGAGGAGTGCATCCAAGATCTCCAGGCCTAGTTGGAAGTGATGCACAAGTTTGCATGACAGCGAGTTAACTTGGCGATGAAAAAGATGAAGACCCAATATGACATGAGAGCTACAGAGCATTGATTCAACAGAGACAAGGTGTGGTTGTGGAATCCGATTCAATGGAAAAGACTCTGTTCCAAACTACAGTCACCTTGGGATAGTCCTTACACAATCCTAAACAGCTTAATGATATCTTGGTTCGGATCAGTAAGTCATCGAACTCTAAGTCTAAAGTCGTTCATTACAACAGGGTAGCTCCTTACTATGGCCATAGTATGCAGTGTACATAATGTAAATAGTATATGACCATGGTCGTTGTTTCTAAATTTGTAAATTTGTGCACTCATTTATTCATTTAGTATTTGATTTGTTTTATGTTAGTTGTTGCAATTGTTGTTTCTGTTGTTTATTATTGTATTGTAATGTGTATTATTGAATTGATGCTTTAGTTTTAAGCATGGTTTCCTGTCCAAGGACTGTTCCGCAGGGACGTGCAGTCCTTGGGAAGGGAGCAGTGTTATGAATTTTGTATTTAGATAGCTAATGTTAGTAGAATTATAATAATTTTTCCCCCCATGCAATGCAGCACGAGACATATTTTAAGAGAAAGCTATGCCAGAAAAGTAAAAATAGAGAAGCACGTGCATTTAACATTTAATAAATAGTATTTTGTAATTTATATTTAAATCGAATAAATATAGTTGACTGCTGTGTCAGCTGTAACCATAATTCTACACTTTTGCTTTCAGGAATCTTGAGAAGCAAAGAAATTACTAGAACTCTCTTGCGACTAATTGAAAGCTTTAATACTAGAACTCTCTTGGGACTGATTGAAAGCTTTAAAAAGCTGGAGAGAGATAACACAGCTCAGTTGTTTAGTTAGCTGCTGTTGTTATTTTTGCGAGTTCAGATCGGATTAGCTATCTCTTTGCATTGTGTTGTATTCTAACGTTTTTAGGAGTTTAAAGGCTAACTACTGATTATATTGTGTGATATTTGAATACTTGTATGAATATCTGAGGAAAATTCCAGCATTTTGTTATATTTTTTGTGACAAGAATAAATTTCATTAACCTTCCATCGGACATGTGCATTCAATTTACAACGAACCCGTACACATGCATCAATATGTTACACTTATTAAATTAATATTAATATACATATATATGAATATAACATTGCCAAAATAAACAAACAAGATAAGTTTGTTTTCTTAAATTCTATATCTCTATTTTCATTTAATAGTTTAATTTAATGATTTAACATGTTTTCCATAAAATAAAATTCTTAATAAGCATTCCACAGAAAAAGCTTAAATAAATTAAAATAATTATTTTTGTCATTACCTCACAGATTTCAAAAGATCTCGTAACAAGTGTTGAAATGACACCTGAAACTGCTTTTGGTTATCAAGAAGGAGGAGTGTTTAGTGTTACATTGTTCTTTACCAAGCCAAATTTGTCTTACATGCTCAGCTTATTATATGAAAAGCTTATTAGGGTATACATTATTTATTTCCTAATTTTATTATTAAAAGAAAAAGCATGCTTACTTCACATTATCTCAAGGTTTGATATTTAAACAATTATTTTTTTGTAGAGCGCCTCTAATATATCAAGTTCAAATATATGAAAGACTATCTTATATAGAATATCATGTCCTATTTTTACCTCTCATTAAACATTTAAAAAAATTATTTGCCTTTTGATGGAGTTATCGCATCTGACGAAGCATGAGGCTAGGAGAACCTTTTCCAAGAAAAAAGCTTCTTTTCCTAACACTGGAGGATTCCTAGCCAAAACATACTAGTATTGTCCATGGGACTCTCAATTGTGACTTTACTACACAGGACTAAATCAACCAATCAGATATCCCATCCCCAAAAAAAGTTCTGGGAAACGTTTCTTTCAATGCACTGTTGAAAATAGCTTGTAGATATGATATATAAAGCGAATTCACATTCAAAATAAAATCATAATTTAAAAAAATTTAAAATTTGAAAAAAATAGAACTATATTTTTATTTGGAATAAAGCAATATTGAACTAGCTTTATATTTTGCACTTTTATTATATAGTCTATAGCATTTAACATATTCTTTTAAAGAAGTCTGATGTCATATACAAAATCATTCTTAATTGCATTGCTTTTAGTGATAAAGTCATGTACCACAGAAAGAAAAGAAAACCTTAACCAAGACAAGGGAAATACTTCATTAAGTTTGATTGTCTCATTAAAGAGATCATAAATACCTTTTAATTACACATATCAAAACTATATGATTGATTTCGTGCTATTATTACTTAAACTATCATTTTTTAAAGTAAATATAAACTTTAAAATTTAATTTTTTAATTTAAGTATATTTTACCATTTGCTATATATCACAATTATTTGCATAATTAATGTATGCAACAGCTTTAATTAATCTGAGATTAGTTTATGGCTAGGTATCAAACTACTATCTAAAGTACATGGTGAACATAAAATATTAGACTATTCAAATAATATCAGATTTCATGCTTACCTTGATTAGGAATGACAACTACAAACAAACCTTCAATTGTAGCCACTGTTGGAGCTGTATAGATATTTTTGTATGGAATTTTGAGGACAAGTTGACCTACAGGATATACAATACCGATTCAGTTAAAAATAATTTTGTGTTTTACCTAATATATTAATATTTAAACAAAGCTGATAAATAAACAGAGAACAAATATTTTAACATCTTTTCTGAGCAATACACCTAATTTATACAGTCATACAGCTCAATTTTTATATTATTTTAACACTAATCAGATCAGATTACTGCACTGATCTGACTAGAAAAAGAGTTACTACCATATACATATATAGGCAGCAATTACTCACTGTGATTACTATAAAATATTATGATTTTAATAAAAACTGAACCATTATTTCACACAAAAAATAAAATTTTCAACAATTATCATTTACACCAGGGTTTCCTAAACTGTGGGTCGCAATACCCTTGGATCTACGACAGGGGTTCACCAAAAATTTTAGCAGTTTTGATATTTCTTTAACTTATTATAATAATTTTACAATTACCAAATATTTTTACACTGTGTATCTGAAAATAGGTAAAGATAAGACAATACAGACAAAGTAAAAAATGGAAACGTTTCGACGCATTCTTTTTATAATTTTCCTTGCTTTGCATGTGATGCTGTCATTTTTTCTGCTACTTATTTAAAATTTTCACATTGTTCTATGTCTTAAAATTAGAAATTAAAGTTAATGACCTAAAACTGCAATTGTATATTACAGTACAAGTGAAAAAATTGACAGTTTCACTCACGTGTGGGTCGGATTTGTGCAATATTATTAATTATGGACTCTCACAAAATTTTTTTAAATATTATGGGGTCCTGGGGGTCACGAAAAAATCTAAGTGATAAAAAGCGGTCACAACTGAAAAAAGTTTAAGAAACCCCAATTTACACAATAAAGCTTAGCATTGTTAAATTGTAAAAAGAAATGAATAATAAAAATATTTCAATATTTAAAATCAATTACAATATACCTTGAGGTTTCATGATAATATGCTACTTCTGCCCATTTAAAAAAGAAAGGGAAAAAAAAGAAAAGTGGGAGAAAGGCAAAAGGAAAAGAGAGGACAGAAAGTTTAAGAACATTTTATCGATCACTGCCTTTACTATTACACTAGGCTATAAAAGTTAAAAACTAAAGTTTTACCTGCAAATTTTTCTTAGTTGAACAACAAAATAATATTCATATTCTCACATACTTTGTTAACAGCAACATATATTTTGTTACTGACTTAACAGCAGCAGAACAAGGTTTGAAATCATATGTGTTTTTAGACAATCTTAGCAAATAGTAACAGAAAATTTTAAATGCACCCCCAAAGGATTATGATGTAACATTTAGTTACCTATGAGGCTAATTAGGAAAATTAAACTACCACATTACTGCAATTTATTCAAGGCGATACTTTGGAAATAAAAGATGATAAATATTTTGATGGCATTCTTAAACTCTGAGATTTCCTTTTTACTTCCTTGTGAAATTTTGGGTGTCACATTTCAGTGGAAATATCCACTTCGATTACTGCAGAATCCATTTGGACAATTTTTCGCATGACTTCTGTAGTCACAGAGAGTACAAAGGGCTATTCTTCGTAACATGGATTTAAAGTGGATTCAAAAGGGATTTTTTTATGAAGTCTGTATGTAAAATACGTATGTATCTTGCATAATTCAAAAACAATTAACTGTAGAAGTTTGAAATGTTGTATACGGTAATGCTATAACAACTAGTTCTGCACCTCGTTTTCTTATTACAATGAGTACAAACATATATATGTATAAAAGTTCTTACCCAGCATTTTTTCCCTCAATAGCTGGTCATAGTCATGTACTTCTGATTTACAGAAATGTTTTAAATAATCAAAATATTCATGTTTAGGGATTGTTATTTTATTTTATTTATTTATTTTTTTTAATTATACTACAATATCTAAATACATGTATGATAAGAATTTATACATGTAGTTAATCTAACAATAAATATTTAACAATATTGTTGTAAATATCTAACAATATTTAATATTAGTTTATTATTTTAAAAAGAATATCTAATAGGTCATAGAAGGAAGTCATTTGATGTCCATATCAAATTTTTATTTAATGTATATCAAATTAATACACAATTAATGAATTTAAAATTACTGTATTCTCTCATTTATAAGCTGTACTTTTTTCACAAGCAGCCCCGAAAAAAAAAGGGCAGATGAAAATCAGGCATGTGGCAAGAATAATTAGAAATAGGTACATACAAACATATGTAACACAGCAATGCACACTTAACAATTGAATATAAAATCCATTGTTATTAGGAGGACGTTAACATAGGATTGCGTAAGTTTAGTCGTAGCTAATTGATACTGGCAGTATAGGCAACTGTTCTACTATTGGTACTAATAGAGAAAACAAAATAAGAGATGCTAAACACAGAAATGTTGTAGTCAGAAAATGTTCCTCATTAGAGTTTATGTTCTCTAAAATGTGTAACCTTTTTTTATTTGAACTGAAGCCTCCTGTCAAGCTTGCAATTGTCATATGTTTTTCTGATAAATTGGCATTTTAGGTTTCAGATTCTTCAGAAGTGATTTGTTATGCACCTCTATGAGTATACTGTCAGCTCTCTGCTATGTGAATACAAGAGTTTTCAATGTCATCGCCATTAACTTCCAAATCTAACTGTCTGGCAAGACTGACAATTGATATTATTCAAAATGATCTGCATGGTAGAGGAGATGAAGTGATACAGGAAAATAAAAAGCCACATAATTTAGAGTTCACATAAGTTGCAGTATTACTGTATATAAATATAATTGGTACTTACGTACTATGACGACTACCTTGGCAATATCTGCCAATAAAAATGTTCATTGGCATTTTTTGATTCATGTTTATAAATTCTTATAAATTATTTAAGATTTATTTTATATTTATGTTTATAAATTCTTATAAGTTATTTAAGATTTATTATATATTTATGTTTAAATTCTTATAAGTTATTTAAGATTTATTACATATTTATGTTTATAAATTCTTATATATTAAAAATAAAAGCCCTAATTCTAAAGGAACGAAAACTTAAAAACCAAAAATCCCAAATATATATATACATATTATAAGTAAATGTATATATATAACCTACAAACGTGTGTGTGTGCATATATATATAAAACCTGTATAACCTACAAGGGTCGCCAGTTTTGGCGAGATATCTAAGCAGTCGTCATAGTACATAAGTACCATATAATTATTATATGCTAAAAATGAAAAATAAAAAGAAAGATGTTACCTAAATGTCCAGAAACAACTTTGATTGGCAAATCTAAATCATCCAAAGCACTTTCTTTCACGTCCAGATGTTTCAGACATACATCTCCTAAAATATACATATACTAATGCAGTAAATTTACCACTTTAAAACAACATTAAAATAAAATGAATCTTACACCTATAATACCGGAATGAATCTTACACCCATAATAGATCCAGGAAATAAAGACAACATAATATTACATAAATACATTGTAAAAATTTCTAGCAGGTAATTCAATTAATTACATATAGGTAAAATTCTGGCTGACAGTTTATTTCATTTACAAATGAGAAGACTTTCTAATAATATAACTTTCATGACAGACTGACCTTTGGACACTGGATAATATTTATATTATAGATAGGGAAAGCTACAAACCTATCAATGCATTTTGAAACTGTTTTTGTATCAGGATATGAACAAGGAACAAAATTACTAACGTTAAGTACTTGACAAATTACAAAGTGTTATCTACAGAAGCATGCCAAAAAATATTTCAATGGAGTAAAATTAGAAACCTCTTTTCTAACTTACGTTCTGAATGGAAGGATACTGAAAATCTTAAACTTGAAAGGCAAATGTTGAATAAAATATGTTCATATGTAAATATTAATATAATAAACCTAGTTTCAGAATAAACTTGTATATCCTACATATATTTTACAATTGCAAATTGCGATTACAATTGCAAATTATATAGATATTTGCAAACTGTGGATGATACTCCTCTTATTTCAACAACAAATATACTTGAAGATCTTTAACTTCAATACGACTGTATTTAACTTTTATGAACTATCTTTCACTTCTGTAAGATATTTCAATCAACTTTCAAATAACTATTAATCTGCATACAAGGTTTCTGCACTCTTTAACATCTTCTGCTTGAGGATTGCCATTCTAAAACCATTTTTATACCATTATTTTAGTCTAATAATTAATTCCATCAAATCAATACAGAAATACTGCATAATGTCAAAGAAAATAAAAGTTAATGCCTTCAGCCAAAAAATATCCTCCTTCATAAACAAAAAATACTGGTTTCACTCTTTTGAAATAATCAAAATTTCCATCATTGGAATATTTTGTTATTTTACTGTTGAATAAATAAAAAATGTTATAATTTACTTTCCTTGAATTTTTATTAGTACCGGTACCAAATACTACAAGCAGCAATCAACTAAAATTGAAAGATATTTCTTATTAACATTTTGCTTTAAATTAATAATTTTAACAAAATAAAAACTAACCTCCAAAATAGCCAATAATTATAAAATTTTATTTACATTACAGCATATTGAAAATACATATTTTTTAATTAGTTAATACTGAAATTCAACATTTCGAATAACACAGCTAACTGTCACATAGAATAACTGATCAACATTTGAGAATTCACAGATACACATACTGGCCAATGAATTAAAAACCATTGAGATTTTCATTTGAATGAATGCTAAGAATGAAGTATGCTTTTATTTATTTATTTATTTATTTATTTATTTATGATGTCGGTTATACATGGTTAGAATGCTAGTAAAAGTAAGGTGTAAGAGTGCTTTTCACGATGAATGAAGTAAAATGGATAAAACGACAGATCTTTCACCATTTGAAAAAGGGCTTATGGTTGGTGCCCATTTAGCAGAGGCCTCGATTCTGAAGACAGCAAATCTCACTGAATTCTCAAAAGCAGTCATATTAAAGGTTTTCAAAAGCTAGAATCAAAACCCACAGTCCTTTTCTAGAAAACATAACTGTGGTTCGAGCATAGTTTACCAAGAGAGAGATCAGTAGTGTCTCCAACGGATTGTTCAGCAGAATAGGGATTCTACTGTGCTTCAACTGACACAGATCGTCAACCATGGCTCTTCCCAACAGATTTCAGCTTAAACCATGTGCACAGAATTGCAGAGGACAGGAATGCACAGTCAGGTGCCTTTGAGAAAACCACTCATTTCTGCCCAACATGCAAGAATTCATTTGCAATGGTGTCAGGAAAGATGACACTGGACATCTGAGGCTTGGAAATGGGTACTGTGGTCGGATAAATTATGCTACACCTTATTTTGCATCGATGGAAGACGTCAAATTTGGCAAGAACCCCATGAAGGCATGAAGCCATCTTGCCTTACTCGTACTGTGCAAGGGTCTGGTGGGAGTATCATGATATGGGGTATGTTCTGTTGGCATGGAATTTGTGCCCTGGTGTTCTTTGAGGGTAAACAAACAGACACGAGATACCTAGATATACTGGCAAATCAAGTGCACCCTCCAATGTTGCATTTTTACCCGGATGGTGACAGATACTTTTAGGACAATAATGCAACTATACATCGTGCCAGAAGTGTTCAAAATTGGTTCGCTGAACGGCCACTGCATAGCCTGGATCTTAACCCCATACAAAATAAGTGGGATATGGTGGAAAAATGCATCTGACAGCACGTAAATGAAAATCGTCCTTTCAAATCTAGATCTCAACTACATACGAGCTTTTACCTACAAATCACGTGAGACCAAATACCGCTCGTTTTTAGTTAAATAAGTCAAAGGTGCGCTTAGCACCCCGCCCGCAAGCGAGAAAGTCGTGGTCGTAAAGGCAAAAGCCTCAAAGTCAAGCAAGGCCTTTCTTCTCCTCTGTGTAGGCTCCTCCTCTCTGAGTGTTGAAAGTTGATTTGTCGAGTCCAGTCACGTGAGTGGTCACTCATCCAAGTACTAACCCTGACAGAAGCATCTTCAAACAAGAAAGTTTGAAATGTAGGAAATTGGAAGTTTTTTAATAAATAAAATAAAAGTCCAGGTATTCCATCGGTTGCATCTGACAGCACTCTCCTCTTCATCTAATTTATATGATATAAAAAGCTACATAGCCAATGCATGGTATTCTCTGGACATAATGCACTCCAGAAGCATGTAGACTCGATGCCCAAACAAATCAGAGCAGATATTCGTGCAAAAGGTGGTCCAATAAAATATTAAATTTGTATTTCTAATTCATTGGCCAGTGTGTGAATTAGGAAAAAACAGGCATTTGAAAAATGAAATTTAAGTTCAAGAAAAGAACTAGTGGTAAAAAAAGAGAGTTTTTGTATTTTTTTCTGGTAAAGCTATTTCTGGAAATTTTTGGCTTCTGTTCATTAGTTGGTGACAATATAGCACTGGTTTATCCAGTATTCTGTATAGTGCCATCACTAAAAGTAACATACTACTTTGAGTAATAAGCAAGCATGAAAAATATGAAGGTCTCAAAGTAGCATATCAAGCATATATTTTTTTGAATATAATCTAATGACAATGCTGCTACCACTATTGGTTTTTGTATTTTAATAAAAGTGAAAGGTAATTTTAAGAGAATCAAAAAGACCTCTAGTACTGCAAGATGGGGATCTATTGGAAGTCAATGAGAGCAATGAAATTACTGAAGTAAATCTGACATAGAAGTTTGAATTTCACAGGATAAGATTGGAGAAGTGAATCCATACTATTAGATGAGTGATGTATAAAAATACATCACCTTTTTCGCCTGAATTAAGTCACATGCAAGATCTGTCTATAAGCCACTTTGATAAAATTTTGGAAATCAAGCCTTGACGTATCATGATTTGATAAAGAGCTGAAATGGACATTACAGCACATTTGCTAAGCTGTCATTCTGCCATGCTACTAAATCAAAAGTGACAAACTGCTGAGTATATTCCTGTGTTGTATTATTGTCATAGATGTAGTGACTGACTAAGTAGATTCGTTAACCTAAAATTGAAGTGTATGGCAGTTTTAACTGGACTGTATAATTGCAATATCCTTCAGTGCTTTTTAATCCTGGAACAGTTTGCACAGCCAAATGTTCAGGTTCAAAAGCAGAAAAAATGCATATCTGCTGATCTTTCCAAGATTAATGCAACCAGCTCAGCACAAATTATTAATTTTTTATAGATGAAAAGGTTAAAAGTTATGAGGTGCAGGTTGGTGGATTTCATTACATTTTTTTTAAAGATACCCTAACTATCAATATTTATCGTAAGTATGTATCATAAGTAATTATTAACATAGGAAAAGAAAATATAGTTTAGCAATCTCAAATAAAAACTTTAATTAAGAATAAGTAAGAATAATAAGTAAGAATTACATGATACAGTAAAAGCTGACTATGCAGCATTTAATTAAATAGAAAGCTCAAGTAATCGGAATATTTTAGAATTTTACAAAATAAATTCCCCCTCCCCAAAACATTTAATAAATGAAAGGCTTATAATGAAATTACAGTACGAATAATATTATTAAAATATACATATTGTTGCCAAACAGTGTGATTTAGTGCTAATAATGGATGAGCACGATGACACAACACAGGCATGAGATGTTCATTTTGGTTTAATGTAAATTCAATTAATTCTCGATAAGCTGATTTAATTTTTATAAAAAAGGACACAAGTTCTACTTTTCCCTTGCATTTTGTGCGTGTGCGTGTGTGTGTGTGTGAGTATGGCAAAGCCTCGAGGGCTATCTGCCTAAGAGGAGGGATGCCTTCGTGGAGGACTTTCTAAGGGAAACTGGCTCGTATACACGTTACACATGGGGAAAATCACGAAAACGCCCATGCAGCCTGCCTGTTCGCGGGATTCGAACCTCGGACCGAACTACCAGTGTTCAGCGACTTTACCACTCGGCCGCTGGTGGGCACCCCTTGCATTTTGAAAAAAATTATTAACACTTAGTACTGCATGAAGTGCAGTATTTTCAAAGTCAGGGCATCAAAACAAGCCACTCTGAAAACGATGAATAACGATGAAACGTGAAAAATTACGATAAACGAGTAAAGTTTTTCATATGTTATATCTGTAATTTGTTTATCTTTTTATTATCAAACTAAATAAATAATATGTTCATTTAAACTTCTGCCAAAAAGGCAGGCAACATCTCAAGCAACTTTCGTGTTTGGTGGGATTTCATAATTGGATGAGGCCTACAAAATGCACTGGCTGTTATAAAACTGAAATGCATTTCTTTTTCTTAGAAATCAATGTTTGGATGCTCAAATTGACAAGAAAATTTTTAATAGTTTTAGA